GGGATAGACGACCAGTAGACAGGGGCTGATGGGATAGACGACCAGTAGACAGGGGCTGATGGGATAGACGACCAGTAGACAGGGGCTGATGGGATAGACGACCAGTAGACAGACTAGACAGGGACTGACAGAGACGCACTGTGGAGGTGTGCCAACAGGCACCAAAGGGTAAGAGCCTCTGGTGGTTTTTGGAGAAACTTTAGTTGACATTGTGGAACATTTCTTGAGGGCAGAGACCGAGAGGGCGACTGTGAGGAGAGTTACCGTGATAAAGAGTAAACAGTAAAGAGTAAACAAGAGCGGAGGGGGCGGGAGTTTAGATGAGCAAGTGACTGGTGGTGCAGGGGTTGCCAGGCGTCGCCACACAGATGAGATGCAGTTATAACATTCCCAACTTGAAGATATAATTCAGTGGATCTGGATTTATCCCTAGCTGGAGTGGGAGACCGTGGATATATTCACAATATAAATCAAATATATCAAATATATTCAAATATATTTGCAATATATTCAAATATATCAAATATATTCAAAATATATTCAAATATATCAAATATATATATTTGTATGTGTGCACGAGGTGTGTGTATTCACCTAGTTATGCTTGCGGGGGTTGAGCTCTGCTCTTTCAGCCCGCCTCTCAACTGTACAATCAAGTATTACTAACTACTACTATTTTTACACACACACACACACGCAGGAAGCAGCCTGTAGCAGCTGTCTAACTCCCAGGTACCTATTTACTGCCAGGTAACAGGGGCATCATGGTGAAAGAAACTCTGCCCATTTTTGTTTCCGCCGGCGCCGGGAATCGAACCCCAGACCACAGGACTACGTATTCAGAGTGCTGTCCACTCAGCCACCTGTGCGTGTGTGTACTCACCTATTTGTGCTTGCAGGATCGAGCACTGACTCTTGGATCCCGCCTTTCCAGCCATCGGGTTGTTTACAGCAATGACTCTGGTCCCATTTCCCTATCATACCTAGTTTTAAAATTATGAATGGAATTTGCTTCCACATCCTGCTCCTTAAGTGCATTCCATTTTTCCACTACTCTCACGCTAAAGGAAAACTTCCTAACATCTCTGTGACTCATCTGAGTTTCCAGCTTCCATCCATGTCCCCTCGTTCTGTTACTATTCTATGTGAACATTTTGTCTATTTCCACTCTGTCAAACCATCTAAGTACTTTATACGTTCCTATCATATCCCCCCCTCTCCCTTCTTTTTTCTAGTGTCGTAAGGATCAGCTCCTTCAGGTGCTCTTCATACTCCCATCCCTCGTAACTCTGGAACGAGTCTTGTTGCAAACTTCTGCACCTTTTCCAATTTCTTTATATGTTTCTTCAGGTGGGGACTTCATGATGGGATGGCATACTCCAAGACTGGCCTCACGTAGGCAGTTTAAAGCGCCCTGCCTCCTTACTTAGGTTTCTGAATGATGATCTAACTTTTGCTAGTGTCGAGTACTCTGCTGTCGATATCCTATTTTTATGTGCCTCAGGAGATAGATTAGGTGTTACGTCCACCCCCAGGTCTCTTTCTCGAGTCGTCACAGGTAGGCAGTTTCCCTTTATTGTGTACTGTCCCTTTGGTCTCTTGTCAGCAATCTCATTTCCATAATTTTACATTTGCTCGTGTTGAACTCTAGTAGCCATTTCTCTGACCATCTCTGCAACCTGTTCAATTCCTCTTGGAGGATCCTACAAACCTCATCTGTTACAACTCTTCTCATCAACTTTGCACCATCCGCAAACATCGACATGTAGGATTCTAATCCTGTAAACATGTCATTAACATATATTAGATATAGAATTGGGTCCAGCACCGTTCCTTGAGGTACTCCACTCGTTATTGTTCACCAGTCCGACTTCTCGCCCCTTACCGTTATTCTCTGGCTCTTTCCTGTTAGGTGCTTCCTTACCCATGCTAGGGCCTTTCCTCCCACCCCCGCCTGCCTCTCAAGTTTGAATAGCAGTCTTATGTGCGGTACTGTATCAAAGGCCTTTTGGCAGTCCAGAATATGCAGTCTGCCCAACCTAGCCTGTTCTGCCTTATCCTCGTTATTTTATCATAGAATTCCAAAAGGTTTGTTAGGCAAGATTTCCCTTTCCAAAACCCATGTTGATGTTTGTTTACAAACCAAATATTCTCTAGGTGTGCAACCTGTCTTAGCCTTATTATTCTTTCAAGTATTTTACAGGGGATGCTTGTCAGTGATACAGGTCTATAGTTAAGTGCCTCTTCCCTATCACCTTTCTTGAAGATCGGCACGACATTTGCCTTCTTCCAGCAATTGGACAATCCTTTGGACATAATTTGATTCATAATTGATGCAAGGATCAACTGATCCCTGCCAGAAGCACGCTGAGGGCCTGCGCTGCCTCTTTTAGTATCCACGGTGATACTTTGTCCGGTCCAACCTCTTTAATTGCATCCAGCGTTGTCAACCGTTTCATTACCTCCTCTGCTGTCACCTCTATATCTGATAGTCTTTTATCTAGGGTAATCCCTTCTAACAATGGGAGCTGCTCAGGCTCGGTTGTGAACACTCCATGGAAACTGGCGTTCAGTGCCTCGCAGATTTCCTTGTCACTTTCCATATACGCCCCCTCTGCTTTCCTTAGTCGTTAACCGACATTTTTCTTCTTATATGGCTGTGTAGTAATTTAGGTTACTTTTGTCGCTTTGATCGCAATATCGTTCTCATAATTTCTTTCCGATTCTCTTCTTATGTTAATGTAATCGTTCCTAGCTCTGTTGCACTTGATCCTGTTGTCCTCTGTCCTTTGTCTTCTTTACTTCCTCCACTCCCTTCTGCTTCTCATTTTTGCTTCCTGACACTGTCTATTAAACCATGGGTTATTATATTCCCTCTTACCTTTTCCCTTTACTGTTGGTATAAATCTCTCCTCGGCCTCCTGGCATTTCCGTATGACTAGGTCCATCATATCTTGGACTGTTTTTCCTCTAATTTCTTCCTCCCACTGCACTTCACCCAGATAGTCCCTTATCCTCTTATAGTCCCCTTTCCTGTAGTCAACTCTCCTTTCCCAGATCTCTTGTCCCATGGTCATAAGTTTGAATTCCATCATGTAGTCAAAGACTAGGACACAATGGTCGCTGGCCCCAAGAGGAATTTCATGTTCAAAATTCTCTGTCATCTACGTTCTGGGTGAAAATCAGGTCTAATAGGCTCGGTGTATCCCCCTCCTCTTTCCTTTGTGTCTTCCTTCACATGCTGTGTTAGGAAATTCCTGTCTATAACATTTACTAACTTTGCTCCCCACGTTTCGTCCCCTACATGGGGATTCCTTGATTCCCAATTTATCTCTCCATGATTTAGGTCCCATGACCTGCAGTTTCGCTCTCATTCTGTGAGCTTATGTTGCTGCCTTCTGCAGTTCATCTAGGCATGCCTTGTTGTTGTCATCATACTCCTGCCTGGGTCTTCTGCAGTTTGGTGGGGGATTGTAGATTACCAAGATCACAATCTTCCTCCCATCTGCTGTCAGAGTTCCATGTATGAAGCTTGTGCACTCATTAGTAACCCGATTTTCCAGGTCTTCAAACATCCATTGCTGCATTATTAAGAGTGTCACTCCCCCTCCCTGTCTCTGTGTCCTTTCTTTTCTTATTACCTGGTACCCCTCTGGAAAGTTTGCATCCGAGATCATGCCATTTATTTTAGTTTCCACTATTGCAACTATGTCAGGATCTGCCTCACTAACTCTTTCTTTTATCTCTTCTGCTGTATTAGATACCCCATCAGCAGTGGTGTACAAAACCTTGAGCCTTGAGACTCTTCTTGGAAACTCTGGTTCCAGAGTTCACCCTGTCTCTGGGTGTCTGGGGGGATCTGGGGGGTGTCTGGAGGCAAATGGGGTCTGAGGGGGGGGGGGGGGATGCCTGGGGAGTGAATGGGGTCTGGGCATCTTTGAAGGTAGGTAGAAAGGTCTGGGGTAGGGAGGACTGGGTAGGTAGGTCTGGGGTAGGGAGGTCTGCGTAGGGAGTTCTGGGGTAGGAAAATACTGGGTCTGAAAATTAGGGAGGGTCTGATAGGCATAGGGGGTTTGAGAGGTAGCGTGAGGCTGAGAGTCAGATAGGAGGTTGAGAGGTAGGGGGAAGAAGGATAGAGGGGGCGGGGGAAGAGGGGTGGATGGAGCATGGATAGTGAGAGTGGGTGGTTGTATTAGTCAGGGGGAGACTCAGGTGTAGGTGTGGGCATTGGGGAAGAAGGGCGGGGGGGGGGAGAGGGAAATGTTTCTCAAGAAAATCACTCCATCAGTGATCATTCACTCCTGGGCTGACTCGCATCTGGAACTTGTTCGCTCAAGAGGTTGATACACGGGAGATCAGGTCAACTGATCACAGGAAGGCTCTGGCACACAGTTGGCTACAGGCTCATCCTGTCGCTTATATGATTGTTACTTAATGGGTAAGGTTTATTCCTAATAAGGCATATGAAAGGCTGATAAAATAAATGGGTCTCTATACGAGCAGGTTTCAACTAAGGCTTATAGCTCTTGCTTGTAGTTCCACCAGGTTCCTTATCTGGTAGTTAGAACAGTCTCATCAAATAAATGAGTTGCTAGCAGCAGGCTTCTAATGAGCTGAGGTATGATAACAGCTCTTGCTTGCAGTTTCACAAGGTACTTCACTCGACCGCCCTAATGAACCCTAGTATTAATTTACAAAAAGAGAGGAAATCGAGATAGAAGAGAGGAAAGAGAGAGGAGGAAAGAGAGAGGAGGAGAGGAAAGAGAGAGAATAAAAGAGGAGGAAAGAGAGTAGAGAGAGGGGGAAGAGAGGGAGGGAGAGAGAGAGAGGGGGGAGAGAGGAGGGGGAGAGAGAGAGAGAGAGAGGGGGGGGAGAGAGGGGGGAGAGAGGGGGAGAGAGAGAGGGGGGAGAGAGAGAGAGGGGGGAGAGAGAGAGAGAGAGGAGGGGGGGGGGAGATGAGAGAGGAGGGGGGGAGGGGAATGAGAGAGGAGAGCGCGCGCATGAGTGCACATGCAGGAACGCAGGCTCATGTGTTGAATAAAAGTGTGCCACTGCCGGTATAGGCTTCATAACATTACCCTCGTCCTGAGACCAGACACTTGGCCACTGCACTTAACCAGTTGGACCCTCCCCAACGCTGACCACAACTGGCGAACTGTCTTACAGAGGTCAACCCCACACCTGTAATTTGACTCTAATTACCTAACTATTCTAGGTAATTATTAGGAACTCAGAGTTATTAGGAACATGGACTGAATTACTTCTCACCCATCTCACTGATAAGAATGTACGAGATAATTATTAAGGGACATTATTCCACTATGGTAAAAGTATTTCACTGCAGTCGCCTCTGTACGGCAGTAACAACGCCGGCAGGTACAGCAGTGACAACGCCAGCAGGTACGGCAGTGACAACACCACCAGGTACAGTGACAACGCCGGCAGGTACAGCAGTGACAACGCCGGCAGATACGGCAGTGACAACGCCAGCAGGTACGGCAGTGACCACGCCAGGTACAGCAGTGACACCGCCAGGTACAGCAGTGACAACGCCGGCAGGTACAACAGTGACAACACCGCCAGGTACAACAGTGACAACGCCGGCAGGTACAACAGTGACAACACCGCCAGGTACAGCAGGACGCCCTCACAGGTACACCGTCACCGCCACTCACCTGTAAGGGAAAGGAACACATCTTAGTAACACATTATCCTGGGAATTAAAAACATGCCAAACGGCCCAAACACACACACGCTAACTTTTATAACAAAAAATTATTAATAATAATAAAATACAATTTTATTCTCACTAACGAAGTTGTATTTGATGATGTTATGGCCTTGGTTATTGGCATCTATTATTGCATTTCAAATCATAGGTATTTATAGTGCTTATCTTAAGACAATCGACAAGACTAATTCATAACACTCAGAGATGTAAGGTAAGAAAGCTCATCTTCTCCACCAATGAGTTGGAATAAAATCATTTGAAATCTGAAATTGAGCTTCTCTCTCTCTCTCTCTCTCTCTCTCTCTCTCTCTCTCTCTCTCTCTCTCTCTCTCTCTCTCTCTCTCTCTCTCTCCATCCCATTAAAAACAATGTAAATTATATTGAATGGTAAGTTATGCTGAAGGAATATTAATGAATAAAGTTAGTGATTTATGTATTTGGTATTTGATCCTAATTTATTGCTCATTTAAATCTGTATTTGATTTTGTATTTTTAAACATGAATACATCTGTATCATAATGGTAATGTATGTGTATGTAACGCTTGGGGCGTGCTGTTGAATTGGTGAAAAGAAAATACAGGTGTTTCAATTACAAACTGTAACTCACGCACTGTAATCTAAATCTGTAGTCATCACTACTAAAACTCCCTCCTAAGTTTGTGGACTTGATCTGTGGACCTCAAGAGTGTCCACTCACAGAATTATGTTCAGTGAGTGGCCACTGGAAGAACTCTGGCTGTGTATGATACAGAAATATTGCTACTCTCACACAATATATCAGACACTGATATATTGCTACGATAAGAAGACAACACTTGGAAGGCTGATGTAAACAGTGGAACACGCCAGGGAGCACAAGTGAGGTATGTACAGACTGCCGCAGGAACTTCGTGTAGGGCGGTCAACCACACAGTTGAACACTGAACATCTCTGCTCATTTCGACCCGCAGACGCTCCAAATATAAAGCATAATATTTAGTGTCTCTCCTCATCAAGAAATGCAACTTTCTTGCAAGCAACAAACTACATTTCGAGTCTGCAATTTCACTGTATTGATTATGCAAACACGCAGGACTCGTAATTCTGTGGCGCGGGTTCGATTCCCGCACGAGGCAGAAACAAATGGGCAAAGTTTCTTTCACCCTAAATGCCCCTGTTACCTAGCAGTAAATAGGTACCTAGAAGTTAGTCAGCTGTCACGGGCTGCTTCCTGGGGGTTGAGGCCTGGTCGAGGACCGGGCCGCGGGGACACTAGAAAAAGCCCCGAAATCATCTCAAGATAACCTCAAGAAGATGTTTAAATCAATTACTTGATAGTCCTATGATCTTTATGTATTTTATAAGTGATTAATAACTCATTACCGGAATAATTAGATGGTGCATGTCACCACTGGTTCATACAGCCGCTGGCAGCCACAGTACCGGGTCTGGCCAGTACTGGGTCTGGCCAGTACTGGGTCTGGCCAGTACTGTTGGCTTGTTCTCCACTCACAATCAGGAAGCCCGAGTTTGAGTCCCGGCCAATACACAAATGGTTGTGCTGCGTTTCTTTTCATCTAATGCTTCTGCTCACCAGGTAGCAAATATGTACGGGGAAGTTAGGCACGCGAGGCTGCCAGACTTCTGGGTACATGCCACATGCCTCCCATAACCCTACTGTGGAGTTGCATCCTTGTGGAAGGCCATTCCTTCAACATTGAGGGACCTCCACACCATCCTACCGTATATACATACACAGGCTGTCTGTCCCTTGACGAAACGAATTAAAATTATTCTTGCGCAAGACAGAGATATTTGACCACCTATTCGATCACCTGATGCCTCTCTTCACCTACCAGTAAGTACTCGAGAGTTAGGCAACTGTTACAGATTTTTTTTCCAGTTATGAAGACGTGAAGAACATTGATAAACATTTGAGCTTGATGACGTGGTTCAGGCCACACTGGCCACACGCAGACCCCCAGTGCTGGCCACACGCTGGCTCCCCCCCAGTGTTGGCCACACGCTGGCTCCCCCCCAGTGTTGGCCACACGCTGCCCCCAGTGTTGGCCACACGCTGCCCCCAGTGTTGGCCACACGCTGCCCCCAGTGTTGGCCACACGCTGCCCCCAGTGTTGGCCACACGCTGCCCCCAGTGTTGGCCACCCGCTGCCCCCAGTGTTGGCCAGACGCTGCCCCCAGTGTTGGCCACACGCTGGCTCCCCCCCAGTGTTGGCCACACGCTGCCCCCAGTGTTGGCCACACGCTGGCTCCCCCCCAGTGTTGGCCACACGCTGGTTCCCCCCCCAGTGTTGGCCACACGCTGGCTCCCCCCGTGTTGGCCACACGCTGGCTCCCCCCCAGTGTTGGCCACACGCTGGTTCCCCCCCCAGTGTTGGCCACACGCTGGCTCCCCCCCAGTGTTGGCCACACGCTGGCTCCCCCCCAGTGTTGGCCACACGCTGGCCCCCCCCAGTGTTGGCCACACGCAGACCCCCAGTGTTGGCCACACGCTGGCCCCCCCAGTGTTGGCCACACGCTGGCCCCCCCAGTGTTGGCCACACGCTGGCCCCCCCAGTGTTGGCCACACGCTGGTTCCCCCCCCAGTGTTGGCCACACTCTGGCCCCCGCCAGTGTTGGCCACACGCTGCCCCCAGTGTTGGCCACACGCTGCCCCCAGTGTTGGCCACACGCTGGCTCCCCCCCAGTGTTGGCCACACGCTGCCCCCCCCCCAGTGTTGGCCACACGCTGCCCCCCCCAGTGTTGGCCACACGCAGACCCCCAGTGCTGGCCACACGCTGGCTCCCCCCGTGTTGGCCACACGCTGGCCCCCCCCCCAGTGTTGGCCACACGCTGGTTCCCCCCCAGTGTTGGCCACACGCTGGCTCCCCCCGTGTTGGCCACACGCTGGCTCCCCCCCAGTGTTGGCCACACGCTGGCCCCCCCCAGTGTTGGCCACACGCTGCCCCCCCCCAGTGTTGGCCACACGCTGGCCCCCCCACAGTGTTGGCCACACGCTGCCCCCAGTGTTGGCCACACGCTGGCTCCCCCCCAGTGTTGGCCACACGCTGCCCCCCCCCCAGTGTTGGCCACACGCTGGCCCCCCCCAGTGTTGGCCACACCCTGGTCCGCCCCCAGTGTTGGCCACACGCTGGCCCCCCACAGTGTTGGCCACACGCTGGCCCCCCCCCAGTGTTGGCCACACGCTGGCTCCCCCCCAGTGTTGGCCACACGCTGGTCCCCCCCCCCAGTGTTGGCCACACGCTGGCCCCCCCCAGTGTTGGCCACACCCTGGTCCGCCCCCAGTGTTGGCCACACGCTGGCCCCCCCACAGTGTTGGCCACACGCTGCCCCCCCCCAGTGTTGGCCACCCGTTGGCCTCCAGTGTTGGCCACACGCTGGTCCCCCCCCCAGTGTTGGCCACACCCTGCTCCCCTCCCCAGTGTTAGTCACACGCTGGTCCCCAGTGTTGGCCACACGCTGGTCCCCAGTGTTGGCCACACGCTGGTCCCCAGTGTTGGCCACACGCTGGTCCCCCCCAGTGTTGGCCACACGCTGGCCCCCGCCAGTGTTGGTCACACGCTGGCCCCCGCCAGTGTTGGCCACACGCTGGCCCCCGCCAGTGTTGGCCACACGCTGGCCCCCCCAGTGTTGGCCACACGCTGCCCCCCGTCAGTGTTGGCCACACGCCCGGCCCCCGCCAGTGTTGGCCACACGCTGCCCCCCGCCAGTGTTGGCCACACGCTGCCCCCCGCCAGTGTTAGCCACACGCTGCCCCCCGCCAGTGTTGGCCACACGCTGCCCCCCGCCAGTGTTGGCAACACGCTGCCCCCCGCCAGTGTTGGCCACACGCTGCCCCCCGCCAGTGTTGGCCACACGCTGCCCCCCCCCCAGTGTTGGCCACACCCTACACCCAGTGTTGGCCACACACTGGCCCCCAGTGTTGGCCACACCCTACCCCTAGTGTTGGCCACACCCTACCCCCAGTGTTGGCCACACGCTGGCCCCCAGTGTTGGCCACACCCTACACCCAGTGTTGGCCACACACTGGTCCCCCCCAGTGTTGGCCACACCCTACACCCAGTGTTGGCCACACCCTACACCCAGTGTTGGCCACACGCTGGCCCCCAGTGTTGGCCACACCCTACCCCCAGCGTTGGCCACACGCTGCCCCCCCCCCAGTGTTGGCCACACCCTACACCCAGTGTTGGCCACACACTGGCCCCCAGTGTTGGCCACACCCTACCCCCAGTGTTGGCCACACCCTACCCCCAGTGTTGGCCACACCTTACCCCCAGTGTTGGCCACACCCTACCCCCAGTGTTGGCCACACCCTACACCCAGTGTTGGCCACACGCTGGCCCCCAGCGGTGGCCACACGTGGCCCCCAGTGTTGGCCACAGCCTGGCCCCCAGTGTTGGCCACACGCTGCCCCCCAGTGTTGGCCACAGCCTGGCCCCCAGTGTTGGCCACACGTGGCCCCCGGTGTTGGCCACGACCTGGCCCCCCAGTGTTGGCCACACGCTGCCCCCCCAGTGTTGGCCACACGTGGCCCCCAGCGGTGGCCACACGTGGCCCCCAGCGGTGGCCACACGTGGCCCCCAGTGTTGGCCACACGCTGGCCCCCAGTGTTGGCCACACGTGGCCCCCAGTGTTGGCCACACGTGGCCCCCAGTGTTGGCCACACACTGCCCCCCAGTGTTGGCCACACGTGGCCCCCAGTGTTGGCCACACGCTGCCCCCCAGTGTTGGCCACACACTGGCCCCCAGTGTTGGCCAAACGCTGCCCCCCAGTGTTGGCCACACGCTGGCCCCCAGTGTTGGCCACACGCTGGCCCCCAGTGTTGGCCACACGCTGGCCCCCAGTGTTGGCCACACGCTGGCCCCCAGTGTTGGCCACACGCTGGCCCCCAGTGTTG